AGCAAGCTGGCCCCGACTGCCCCAAGTGCCCCAAATGCCAAAGCAGCAGGCCTGGACCCACCGACTCATGGCGGTAAGTCTTGATCATGCAGTCCGCTATGCCCCGGTATGTGTTCTGGGTCTGCAGCCGCACCTGGAAGGGAGGATGGAGCAGGTGTGCAGTGGGGCTCAGCACCAGGCCAGCCCGCCCCGCCGCCCCGCCGCCCCTCTGCCCCTCTGAGCAGCTGGCAGCAGGACAGGAGAGGACGGCGAGAGCCTGGTCGGCCAGGCCCTGAGCGCAGGGCGTCCTGACAGATGGCTCACGTGGCATCGGTCTCTCCTGAACAGCCGCCCCTAGACTCACCTTGACAGTGTCAAAAGGGTGTCCCAGGACCAAGCCCAGAGCTCCTGTGGTGACAAAAAGACGCTATGAGCGAGCGCTCTGGCGCCAGGCCAGGGGAGCAAGTCTGCGCCGAGAGGAAAGAGGGTTCAGGCAGAAGGACGGTGCCGGGACCCTCTCAGACCCCTGTGGTCCCCCCTCCAAGGAAACGGCCGTGGCCCCCACCAGGGGCCGGGCTGAGAGGACGCAGGAACACGGCGACTGGGCGAGGACGCACAGGCAGAGGGAAGAGCCAACCGCGCCGGCCCAAGCGACCATGCTGGGAGCCGCCTGCGCGTCGTGCTGGCTGATCTGACCGTGGGACTCTGGGACGAGTTTCTACAGCTCCTGCCTCCCTGCCAACTTCACTCCTTCCTCCAACTCACACCGCGTCCAGTGCGGGGGCCTGGTCCCTGGGCGCCCCAGCACTGCAGGCTCAGTCCTTGGGGGAGTCTTGCTGGTACCGGAGAGGAGGGCCTGGCCCAGCCCTCCCCCACTTCCTGGTCTTGCCTGCATAGCAGAGGCTGGTTCTGAAGCTTTGGGTGATGTCACATCCCCAGGAGGCCGGTTTGGAATGTCCCTCTTTCTCCTAAGAGAAATGTCACCCAGGAGCCCGGATGGACGCACGGTCCACTGCCAGGTAGGGCAGAGTCCCATGGGGGCAGGCAGGGCCGCAGGTGAGTTCAAAGGCCTAGTCCCTTACTGAGCCCCGGGGGGCCAAGAGAGGGGCTCTGGCGGGCTTCCCTTGGCTCCTTCTCAGCAGGTGTCGAGCAGCCTGGCCTCCCCGCTGCGGCTTCCTTCCCCTCTCCCAGGCAACTCCTAAGAGGCTCCGGGACAGCTGGCTCCCAACCTCCAGGGAAACCAGGACTTTGGTCTCCACTCCCCTGTGTCCCCCACCTTCCCGGAAGTGACCCCCACAGGAGGTGAGGTGACAAAGGAAGAGCAGTATCTCACCGGAGATCCAGCCGGCCACAAACTCCTCCACCGGCATTGTCCACAAGGCGGAACTGGTGGCTGGAGCAGAGGAGCTGCTGCTGAAAGCGAAATTCCACCTCTCCCTCCCCCGTCCTCCGGCCTGATAACCTCCCACTAATGTTTAACCCTGGGGGTAGTGTGAGCTGTGGCCCAGTGCCCAGGCCTCACCAGAAGAGGGGAGCCAGTCCAGGCCCGGCCTGGGGGCTGGCGGAGGTGCGCGCTGGGAGCGCTCGGGGCAGCCTTGCAGCGGCGGGACAGCCAGGCTGGGGCAGTGCTGGGGTCCCAGGGGCTGCAAAGGCCTAAGGAGCCCGCTGGAGTAAGACCCTGGCCACCCTCCCATGCATCCCCACAGCCCTGAGCCATGGGCTGCTGCCGGCCAACCCCCCCCCCCCCCCCCCGCCCCCCCCCCCCCCCGCCCCCAACCAGGCCAGGCAGCCAGGCCGCAAAGACAGGATGTGGCCACTAGGGGGCAGGCCCTGCCAGGTGTGGCCTGGGTTTTGGGGAACCCCAGGAGCCAGCCTGGTGGGCCCCACCCAGAGCAGTGAGTCATGGGGCCTGGAGCTGTTCTCCCAGAGTTGTTTATGACTCCCCGAATCTGCTGGTGAGTCATGAACAACCTCCAACAGCCTCAGGGGGAAGGCTGAGCCTCTTTCCCAGGGGAAAGTAGGGGATGTTGAGCTGTAAAAGGGTGGCGTGTGGCTCTGTTTGGGGGTGACCAGGTTACAGCTACCTGTTTCTCTTTGGAGGACAGGGGTGGGGGATCGAGAAGAGAGGGGTCTCCTTCAGGGCACAGAGATGCTCGGCTCAGCTTTTTGCCCATAGAACTCTGCCAAGGTCCCCAAAGCGGCGCCAACCCTGGGGTCACCACCGTTCCAGGAGGAAACTGCTTCAAGGTTACTGGCAAAACAGATTCCATTTCCCAGCCCGCCTCCCTCCTCCCCTCCGCGCCTGGGCAAAAGCCACCGTCCCCTCCACTTGGATTCCTGCGCCTGACAGGCCTCCCTGCCTCCTCCTGGCCCCCTCCCACGTCTGTCCAGGCAACAGCCAGAAAGCTGCAGCTGAAATCTAACCCAGCCCACCCCTCTCCTCTGCACCCTGCAGAGACCCCTTTCAGCTCAGCCCAAACCAAAGCTCCAGATTCTAGAAGACTCCCCAGGTCGCTCCTGCTCCTCTGACCTCAGCTACCCTCCTCCTTCTCACTTTACTTCCTCTTACACTGACTGTTCCTCTTCCTATGGCCTCCTCCTGCCAGAGCTCAGATGTCACCTCCACAAGGAGGACCACCGGGATTGTCTCATTCATATTGCCATTTGCCTCCCCCCCCCCCCCCCCCCGCCCAGCATCCCTGATGCCTCTGTCTGTCCCTCGCTCTCCCATTGCATTCATCAGCTTCTGACACGGTGTTGTTGACTTGTCTGTCTGACAGAGCAGGATGTCTGGCTGCTTTGCTCACTGCTCACTGATGCTATCTCAAGGCGTAGAGTGGTGTGTGATGCAGTAGGCAATCAATATTTATTAAAAAACAAATGAATAATCAAGACAGGGAGTAGCACCCACGGGCATTCCTGCAACCAGCCCTGGTTGGCTCCCGGGCCCAAAAGAACAGCAAGACCTGACTGTCCCCACTCTGCCCTTCCAGACCACCCTGCAGCTCTTGTGTCCCCGCAGAGGCTGAGCCGGTGCTGTGCGCCCTGCTCCTCTCCTGCAGAACCCACCCAACACTTTCCCACCCAGGAGAGGGTTGAGGAAGCAGCATTTCATCTCTGACCTCCTCCCTGGAGCTGCCCCAGAGACCGTTGCCAAGTGCTGCCAACATGGATAGAGGCCAATACCACGACCCCAGCCCAGGTTTTTTTGTTTTTTTTTAAAAATATTTATTTATTTATTTATCCAAGCACTGGGTACAGTCAGAAGCGTGGGAGGGTGAGAGAATTCACCAGAGCCAGAGCGGGGAGCAGAGCAGGCAGAAGGACCGAGGTACACTGCTGAGGGGAGCAGCAGGCGGCGGGAGAGGTCTGCGCGCCATGTGGGACCCTCCTCTGGTGGACGGGGAGCAGCTGGGGATCGAACCGGCACCGTGGAGACTTCGGGCAGCTTTGCAACCCAGCACTCAACTGCTGTGCCACCGGGGAGGCCCCCAGCCCAGGTTTTGAGAAAAGAAAGAAGCTTTATTGTAAACTGTTTGGCAAACAGGCAGGAGGTAAACACAAATCCGCCTCCCTGGCTAAGAAAGGGAGCGAGGTTGTACAGGTTTGGGGGACCAGGACTCCTTTGGAGAACAAAGGAGCTACAGCTTCGTGGCTCAGGAGGGGGCTAAAGACAAAGAAAGGGATGAGGTGGAGTCCACGCCAGTTACAGGGCGGCTCAACAGGAGATAAGGAGGCTTTTCCTCGGGTCACTGGAGCTGCGCCTTCTGTGGGTGAGCCCTGGCCTCCGGGTAGCTCCCCCTCTGTGTTTGCAGCTCCCTGGCTCCAGCTGGCTCGGAGCTCAGCTCAAGGTTGGTCCTTGCCCAGACTGGGTTGTCTGCAGATAAACTGCAGCTGTGGGTACAGCCTCGAGCAGAACGTCAGATTAAACATTTTTCTCTTGTGCTCTGGAGCCTGTGAGCCCTTTAACCGTTAGCCTCTGTCACCAGCCCTTCCCAAGCACTGGCCTCTCGGGGGACTCGGCTCCTGGTCCTCTGGTTCATTCTCTCCTGAGTGACATTGGGTGAGTCCTTTTGTGCCCCTGGGGTGCTGTATTGCTTGCAAAAGTGAGGGACAGCCAGTTGGCTTAAGGGCCTCACTTCAGAAGGGGACCTACTCTCTTTTCCAAGCCACTGAACCCCTCCCCTAGTTTAGAGGAGACCCATTATCACCCCCGTGGTGCCTCACGGAAGGAAGGGCAGCCCCGGCTAGGTTTTCTCCAGTGCTCCTGAGAACTCTCCAGGGTTAACTCTCTGCCTGGCACAGCCGAGCTCCACACTCTCTAGCTACACCTCCAAACTGTCCTCACTGCCTGTCAGACCCGCCACCCCGTCCCCCACCAGGGGCCACCCGCCTTTCTGGCGTCACCTGCTGAGCTCTGAGCGCCCAGTGTTCTGACCATGCTCGGTGGATCCTGCTACCTGCAATGCCTCCCTCTGGCCCCGTTTCAGCCCTTAGGGTCCCTGCCAGCAGCCCTCCCGCTGGCCCAGGTTCCAGGCTCCTCACAAAGTGGAGCTCTACCACGCGCCCTGAGCTTGTCAGAAGGGTTGAAGCTGTAGAAAGGGAAGCGATGAGCATGCCAGCTATTATTCTCGTTCCCTCTTCAAGCCGTGAGGTCCATGGGGTACATGAGACACAGTAGGTGCTCAGGAAGTGAGGGCCCTTCTCTTCCTGCTTGTGGCATTTTCTTTTTTTTTTTTTTTTTTTTTAATAGAGGCATGTTTTATTTATTTGTTTGTTTTTTGTTTTTGTTTATACATGCACTGGGTACAGTCAGAAGCGCGGGAGGGTGAGAGAATTCACCAGAGCCAGAGCGGGGAGCAGAACAGGCAGAAGGACCGAAGTACACTGCTGAGGGGAGCAGCGGGTGGCAGGAGAGGTCTGCGAGCCATGTGGGACCCTCCTCTGGTGGCCGGGGAGGAGCCGGGGATCGAACCGGCGCTGCAGAGGCCGCGGGCAGCTTCGCAACCCAGCGCTCAAGCGCTGTGCCTGCTTGTGGCATTTTCTAAAGGCAATTCTGCTGTCGGATGCTGTAACCCTGCCTTCCTCCTGTGCTCCTTTCTTCTCCCCTCTCCCACCACTTCCCAATTCCACTAGAAGGTACCCTTCCTGAGGCAGAGCCGTGTCTCCCCATGCTGCCATCCCTGGCCCAGCCCCGGCCCTGCACCCTGTGGGCCCTCAACAACAGATTCATGCCAGCAGGTTGGGAGAGATCGCAGTGTCTTTGTGTCGCGGCCGAGGACCCCAGAGCTGCAAGCTGGGAGACACCTGTTCCCAAGGCGCACACACCTCCCTCCAGCTCACATCTGAGCCTCCTTGAACCCTTAGTATGTGCTAGTGAAGAAGACAGATGGTAAGTTGTGTCATGGGGGCATAAAAGCCCTGGCCGGCAGGCAAAGAGCTGCCTCAGATGCTGAGGAAACATGGACAGGGCTAGGGCCTGGAGCTGGCTCCCTTCCACACCTGGGGATCAGGGCATCCCGAGCCATTGTTCGCTTGGAACAACTGGGCCCCTCAGGCTCAGGAAGGTGCACAGAGCCTGTTTTTCTCCCTGAAATCTACACCGCAGGCTCTGGTGTTGGCATTGCCAGGACTTGTTGGTGACAAATGGTTCCACACCCTCCTCTTGGGGGCCCAACGCGTCTTCCCAGGCAGGGAATGCTGCTCCCGCCTGCGGGTCTCCCGGAGCCAGGGCTCCTGGGCCGCTCCCTGGAAAAACCAGGGAGCCGGCCCGGGCTTCTAGCAGAGACTCTGAGGGTTCTTGGGGGTCATGGGGCCAACCTCCTCACTTTACGGATGAGGAAACGGAGGCCGGGAGGGGCGGGGGCTTGCGGGGCTGCATCGGGAGAGGGGCCCAGGCCCGTCGCCGCCGCCCGCAGCATCCTAGCCGCGGGGTCCCCCCCCCCCCCCGCCCCGGAAGCCTCGCCACGCACAGGCGGGGCCCAGCCCGAGCGGTCAGGCCAGTGACTGTCCATCCCCAATTTCCTTGACACGGCGCCACAGCCCGCTCCAGGCCAGCGGTCTGTGCGTGAGGCGCCTCCTCTCGGACCCCGGGGCTGGCGGCAGGAGCCCCGGGAAACCGACCCCGAGGGGGGCCCAGCCCCCGGCGGCGCGCCTCGGGGCGTCCGGGCGCCGGCAGGGCGCGTGCGCGGCGGCCCCGGCTCCGATTGGCTCCCGCTGGCCGAGGGGGCGGGGCGTGCGCGGCGCTTCCTCCGCCCCGGCTTCCGCGTCCAGCCGGCGCGGCCCGAGCGCGCTGAGGCGAGTCCCGGCCGGCGGCGGGGCCGGCGGGGCCGAGCGGGGCCGAGCGGGGCCGGCGTCCTGGTCGCGGCAGCAGCGCGGGCCCAGGCGGCGGGCGCGGCGTCCCTGCGAGGTGAGAGCGGCCCGCCCTGCCCGGACCCCGCCCCGAGGGGTGCGCCCTGCCCTGCCCTGCCCGGGCACCCCGGGAGCCGGGCCGCGACCCCGCGGCGCCCCCGCCCCCCGCCAGCCGCGACCTCGGGGGCCCCGAGGACCCCCAGCCGCTGCTCTGCCCGCTGGCCCGGGCAGCCCGCGGGGCTCACCTTCGCGGTCCACCCGGCCCCCTCGCCCCTCGCGCTGGACGCGCCCCGGCCGCGCCGCCCCTCCCCGAGCCCCGGCACTGCCCGTCCCTTTCCCGCCAGATGGACGGGACGGAAGGAAACGCCCCGCAGCCCTGCGCGGCCGAGCGGTCTCATCGCAGCAGCGTGTCCTCCGTGGGAGCCCGAGGTGGGTCCCCCCGGCCCACCCTCTCCCGCCCCGGCCCGCGGAAGGGGCCCCCTTGTCCTGCCTTTCAGGACACAACCCGGTGCGCTGGTTAGCGAAGAAGGGGCGCTGAGGGCGAGGAGAAGCGCGGGCAGGACGCCCCGGCCCGCGGGCTCCCGCCAGGCCGGGCTCTGCACTCCGTCCCCTTCGGCCCGCGAGCCTGGCCCCCAGGCCGTGACAGTCAGTGAAACCCCATAAATGAGCAGGACACGCTCGCTTGCGGTGTTCGGTTTCTTTGGCACAAACAGCCCTTTGAAAGCAGGGCTCGTTATGTTTTTACGGGAAGGAAATTGGGCCCTAGGGAAGTTAAGTCACAGGTTATGGAGTTTTCTGCTCCTCAGTTTTCCCTGCCTGAAAAGTGGGTGGGAATCCCAGCCGCCTCCTGGAGCTACTTTTCCATCTCTCCAGAAAGCAGCTGTGGGAGCAGAGCGGACCGGGGAGCCAGGAAGCACCCTCTCTTGTATTGGGTGATGAGCTCTGCCCCTCGCCGGCGTCACCTCCCTGGATTCACAGCCACTCTTTGCGGGGTGGGGGAGGCCTGGGGGGTGCTAGTCCTGCTGTCCAGGGAGAGGGGCCGGGCGCTCACACTGACCTTAAAACGGGCCAGCCTGTCCGTGGCCTCTTAGGCTGGGAGCCGAGTTCACGGCCTCCAAGCACAGAGTCCCGGAATGGGAGCTGCACTGGCTGCTCCTCGAGGGTCTTTCTTTGGCTCCAGGCTCCAAGTAGGAACCCACAGGCTGTCCCAAGGGAACACTCGACTTTTGTTGAGCCTGTTTGAGACGTGCTGAGAGGCCTTGGTGTCGAGTCCCAGGGCTTGAAGGTTCTAGAGAAGCTGAGCCCTGGAACTTGCTTTCACCTGGGGTGGCCTTAGGACTCCTCTGTTTCCCCCTTTTCCCGGGTCAGAGAGAGGCAGCAGCTTGCCAAGGGTAGTCGCCCCCACCGCCTGGTGTGCAGGCTACTGTAGCCTCGCCATGGGTTCAGCCTCCCTCTGCCGCATTCCCACCTGTGGAGTGTCCTTCAGAGAAGCCCAGCGGGGTGGAGTGGCCTTGATTTGAATCTTTAGGAAGTGGGTGGGTCTGGGAGGCTGGGATCCTGCCTCTGGGGTCACCCCAAGGAGCAGAGGGGAGTGTGGGAGGGTGCCTGGGCAGTGGGCCCAACTGACCCCAGCTGGCCTCCCTGGCAGGAGCGGACGTACTAGTGTACCTGGCGGATGACACTGTGCTGCCCCTGGCCGCGGAGCACCTGTCCTCGCTCAGCGCCCATGAGCTGCACCGCGCCGTCCGCGAGGCCCTGCAGCTCCCAGACATCGCCCTGGACGCCTTCGCGCTCTGGCTTGTCTCGCCTCTGCTGGGTAAGACTTGGGGCTTGGGAGGGTCTGACCAGTGGGGAGGAAGGGGCAGCTGTAGCTTCCAGAACCTCTGGCCACATCCAGAAGTGGATGGTGGGGCCTGTGTCCTGAGCTGTCTACCTCTGGAGGACCCAGAGCCAAGAGGGGTCCTGGCTCACTCCCACTCCCACCCCCACCCCAACTCCTGCCTTTTTTGTGCTGGTGGCCCAGGAGGTTGCCCCTCAGCTCAGTGGTGCCAGAATCTGGGGCATTAGGAGGAGCAGGATGGCGGGGTGGGGGAAGGGCCATATTCATGAGCGCACACCCGGCTCATCCTCAGGCCCAGCGAGCCCTGTTTCTCGAATGAAGAAACTGAGGTTCGCAATGGGGACTAGTGAGTAAGCGGTAGGACCGAGGTCAAAAGGGGCGACCTCCCAACTGGCCTAACTGAACTGTGTTCTGCCCGCTGGGGACAGGGAGGCAGGTGGGCCTCGGCTCAGGAGCAGCTGCCCCCGAGGATGCTGCTTTTCCTGAGCCGCGTTCTCTGCAAGGCCCCCACCCTCCTGGTTCCTGGCCAGTGGCCACCGTGTCCTGCTTTTGCAGGCTGATCAGTGACCAAATAGGGGGAGCGGGAGTGGAAGCTGTGGCTCAGCAGAACCTCAAGCCTGGGTGTGGGGAATTCTGGGACCTCTAGCCTGCCGGCTTGGACAGGACGGGGGCCAGGGGAAGGATGCCTGGTCATTGGGGTCTACCTCTGCCCTGGGGTGGGGGTCTCAGCCAGCCTGGGGCAAGAGACACCCCTTCACTGCTCTCCACCTCCTGGGCTCTCCCCCAGCCCCATCCACCTGGAGCTTCCTGCCCATCTGCTGTCCTGCCCACCCTCTTCCTGCTGCCCGTTTCCTCTGGCTGCTCACCCCGCTCAGCGGTCCCTCCTTCACCCTCAGGGCTGTTGGTCAGTCTGTGGGCCCCTCTGGAGAGCAGTGGGGGTGGCCAGTCCATGCACCCGGCTTCAGCCGCTGTCCCAGCAGCTGCACCGCTGTTTGTTTCTTCCTCCCACTTCCTCCGCCCCCACGTCCTCCTCATCACATTCCTGCTCCCCCCTTGTGGGGACAAGAATGGGTTGTCTGTGTGGCCCCGGTCACCCAGGCCCCGCCCTGTCCAGGAGGAGGATGGCGAGAGGCCCCGGCGCGAAGTCAGCACCCACTTTGTTCCCAGGCCCGTCCCGGAAGGCTGAAAGGTCACTTGAGCTCTGACTCAGGCCCTTCAGAACAAACCCATGGTGCCCTCCCCCTCTCCCGCCCACCCCAGACCTGGCGAAACAGTGATGGATGCCTGGAACCGGGAGGCAGGAAGGGGGTGCCACTGGAGCCACCCCTCGGGCTGGGTGTTGGGAAGAGCTTGGCCTTCTCAATGCCGTCGCCACTCTGCACGGAATGGCAGTCTCGTTGGTGGGGAGGGGTGAGGGGGGCATAAGGGTGGGTGGGGGTTCAGAAGGCAGTGTAGCGCGCCCATCGCATGACAGCGCCGTTCCCCCCAGGTGGGAGACGTCGCCCAGGGCGGAGGTGCAGGGGATGACGTGGCTTTGTCAGCCGGCCCTGGCAGCGAGGCCTGCAGTGGGCCCGGGGCACAGCGGTGAATAGGACAGAGCCATCCCTGTGGAGTGGGGCACAGACTGGTGTCGGGTCATGGTGATTGCTGGAAAAGGCACAGAGGATAGTGTGATCAGCGTGAGGGGGACAGGGAAGGTGACCCTGGAACTGAGACTGGAGCCAGCCATGGGGAGGGAGATGTCTGAGGCAGGAGGAACAACATGCGCAAAGGCCCTAAAGCAGAAACAAGCTGGGGGAATGTTCCAGTGATTGAAGAAGGCATGTGTGGCAGGAGCAGAGTGGAGAGGCAGTGGGAGGAGGAAGTGAGGACCCAGGGGGTGAGATGCTTGTGGGATGCAGGGGGCTGGAGCTCCCAGGGGAGAGTCTGGAGGGCAGCGGTGAGGGGAAGACCCAGGCGCTGTCAGGAACAGGGGAGGGCAGCCCCTCGGGCCTTTGGACCTCGGTCCAGCTGTGCACTTTGCTCCTCTGGTGGTGCTGGGTCCATCTATCCCGGCGCTTCCCACCCCCTCAGCCCAGCAGCACCAGCACCAGCCTTCCCCGGCCAGGGCGAGGCAGAGGCCGGTCAGGCAGCCTCTGCCTGGAGCCTGAGCCCCTCACTTGCTTGTGACTTTGGACAAGCAACTTCACCTCCCTGAGCCCCATTTTCTCTGTGGGTGACACGGGGATGGGGTTCTTGTGGGGTGATGCCTGAGAACCCCTTGGCGCAGTTCTGCTCAGCACCGCCCGGAGAGCAGAGCATGACGGCCGACGGGCTGATGCCGCCCCTCTCCCCACAGAGGTGCAGCTGAAGCCCAAGCACCAGCCCTACAAGTTGGGCCGCCAGTGGCCGGAGCTGCTGCTGCGCTTCACTGATGCCCCAGATGACGACGTGGCCACAGGTCAGTGCTGCTCCGCCCACCCGCCTGCCTCCCCGGCCAGGGGGCGCTGTCCCAGGGGAGGGCAGGTCAGCCTCTCCTCCAGGCTCCAGCCACTCCTGGCCAGGGCGGGAGGGGTGTGGCCCGCAAGTCAAGATAAACTGCTCACCCTCTCTGGACAGCCCAGCGTGTGGGTGCTGTTGCAGGATCTGGGGCTGGGCTGGCCAGGGAGCAGTGCCGCCAGGCGTGACCCTGACTCTCTCCCCAGATGAGCCGTCCCTGCAGTTCCGAAGGAACGTGTTCTTTCCAAAGCGGCGGGAGCTGCAGGTGAGGCAGTAGCCGGTGCCCAGACCCCCAGCCTGCAGGCCCCGGGCGCCATGGCTCACTGCCCCGGCCCTGCCCGCAGATCCACGACGAGGCGGTCCTGCGGCTGCTGTACGAGGAGGCAAAGGGCAACGTGCTGACCGCGCGGTATCCGTGTGATGTGGAGGACTGCGAGGCCCTGGGCGCCCTGGTGTGCCGCGTGCAGCTCGGGCCCTACCAGCCAGGCCAGCCCGCTGCCTGCACCCTGAGGTGAGGGCCTTCAGGGCACGGGCTGCCCACCCACAACTGGTGTTTTGGGATGGGGGTCAGGTCTCGGCCCTGGGCCATGCCTGTGCTGTGTGACCTCAGGCGACCCCACCTGCCTGTCTAAGCCTCCTCTGCTTGCGCCTGAGGGACCTGGGCCAAGGGAGACTCTGGGAGGGGAGGCCCACAGGAGTCCCCAGCCTGCGGCGCCCCCACCGTGAGTGAGAGTGAAGCCCAGCTGCACCGAGGTCAAGAGGGAGCTGGCCTGTTCTTTTGGTCGCAGCCGGGATTGGCCACGTACTGACCCTGGTCAGCAGGGACAGCCCAGCTGAGTGCACCTGTGGGACTCGCGCCCGTTTCCCAGACGTCCCAGTGTTGGCTCTGCTCCCGGGCCTCTCTGCAGAAGCCATGCGCGCCACTGTGGCTGCAGAGCGAGTGTTGCTGGGAGCAGAGCCACCGGGCCTCTGACCGCCCTGGCCTGACCCTGATCTTCAGAGAGAATTTGCAGGAGGATTTGCTTTCGGCACAGCCTGTTCTAAGACCCCGGAGCTGGGGTGGGGTGGGGCCGGAGACAGGCCCTGTGCCAGGTGACTGACCACTGGGGCCTTGTGGGAGCGCCCCTGGCTCAGAGTCAAGTCCAAGGGCTCCCAGCTGAACTGGCTCCAGGTGGTGGCGAGGGGTCCTGGCTCCTGTGACAGGCCTGTCTGTCCCTATTGCAAGCGACAGCAAATCTGAACTGCGAGCTGGAAGCCTTGTCAGCTGCGTGACAGACAGGCTCCGGGCTCAGCTGAGGCAGTGGGGCATGGACACCCCACTTGTCCCTCCCGCACTGCCGTGCTCTGGCTCTGCCTCAAGGTGGCCAAGGGGCCCTGTTGTCCACCTGGCAAGGAGGGGCCTCTCCCCGAACACAGCAGAGTCCTCACACTCACCCTGATGACCCCATGAGTCAGGTCCCCCAAAGGAGACGACACAGTGACCAGGGTCCCATTGGCTGAGGCCCACTTGTCCCCTGGGGCCCGCCCCTGCTCCCGCAGACCCCATGGGAAGAGCAGGAAAGGCCGGGTCTCCAAGGTACCAGAGAAGGGACAGGAGATGAGGACACCCACGAGCCCGAGGAGGGTGGGCGGCCTCCTGGAGACCTGCTCATGCCACACGGCGGTTGGGCCTCCCGGGCCCGTGCAGATGCTTCCTGGCTTCGGCCGTGCCCCTGCGACCCTTCTCTGTGGCTGGGTGTGGGGTTTGGTCCTTGGGAAGCCCCCTTAGAGATCCCTGCTCCCCAGCCGCCAGCCACCCTCGGCATGAGGAGGCATCTGTGACTGGCTTCCTCTGCAGGGCCCCGGAGGCTGGATGGGCAGCTGCCAGGGACTGAGCACTCCCAGGCACCTCCCAGGGAATGTTGGGTGCCAGCCTGGCCCCGGGGTGGCAGGGCGGAGTTGTGCTAAGGTTCCCCGTGTGTGATCAGAAGGGACTCAGACCCACTGACGTGGGGTCTCTGTCCTTTGCGTCTCCAGCAGGACAGCCTCGGGGGCCCTGGCGCCTGCTCCAGGTTGGGGCTGGGGTGAACACCTTGTCCTGGTCTCTGGACCTCAGGCCCCAGTGGCCAACATGCTGCTGGCATCCCAGCAGAGGGGTTCTTGGGGGTCTCATCCCCCCACGCAGAGGAGGCCACTGTGTGATTAGTTCCTGTGGGTCCCCAAGCCAGGCCAAAGCCCCCAACACCTCCACGATGGTCCTCAGCCCCTCGGGCCAGCCCCAGCTGGGCCAGCCCCACACCACGTGCCTGTCCTCCTCTGCAGGGAGAAGCTGGACTCCTTCCTCCCGGCCCACCTCTGTAAGCGCGGCCACGGGCTCTTCGCTGCCCTCCGGGGCCGCGGGGCCAAACCTGTGGTGGGCGAGCAAGGCCTGCTGGATGCCTACCGCCAGGTGAAGGAAGCACTGGACAGCGAGCATGAGGCTTCCCTCAGCACCCACCACCGCGCCTACCTCCTCAAGTGCCACGAGCTGCCCTTCTATGGGTGAGCCGCACCCCGGCCGCGTGCTCGGCCTCTGCCCTCCCTGCCAGCCCCTGCCCAGCTCCCTGCGCGGAGGCTGTGTCCAGCCCCACACTTACCAGGAGACACTTGTCTCCTGCCCACCGGTTACTTGGTCAGTGGGACCCTACTGTGTGCCCCCACTCTCAGGCTGGTGGCGCCACAGTGAGCAAGTCACAACCCCTGCCTGGTGGCGTGGCTCCCCCAGTGGCAACAGTGAGAGTGAGAACAGATGTGGGGCGGGGACAGCTGTGGGAATGCAGCAGCTGGGGCTGTTCCGACTTGGCGCAGCTCGTGCTGGTCTCCAGGGGAGGCCTGCTCTGTGCAGCCGCAGGGGGCCCCAGAGAGCGGGATCTTCTAGGACTTTGGCGTGGCCAGGGGCAGGTGCCAGGGGGCAAGGGGCCGGGCAGGGGAGGGTGGCAGCTCAGAGATTGGCACCATGCCCTGCCCCTTCTCAGTGTCAAGCCCTGAAGCTGCTTCGCTGGGCAGCCCCCTGACTCCCTGGTGGGTCCCAGGCAGGTACAGCCTTGACTCCCTGCTGCTGAGGGGTCTTGAGCTGACCATGGGCAGCAGGGCTCTCCCAGCCCTGCGGGCTCCCGGCGCCAGCAGCCTCAGCCAGTCCCTGCAGGCCCTGAGTCCTGGCAGGTCCCTGAACGTCACTTGCTCTGCCCCATGCCGGGCCCACCCTGCTCCTGCTTGCACAGACCCCCCGCCCCACGCCACCGGCTCTGATGCCACCACCTCCATGAAGCCTCCCTCTCACTCTCCCAACGGTTTCCTCCTCCCTGGGAAGCTTCCCATTTAACCTGCCACCTGAGCTGCTTCAAGTTCCTCGGGTGCCCCAGATGGGGCCTAGCCAGAGCATTTGCTTGTGGGTGAACCCCGTCCCTGAGCCCTCTGTTCTCTCTGTTCCTGGTGCTGGTGGGAATAGACCGACCCCCTCCCCTCCCCAGGTCTGCCTTCTTCCACGGTGAAATTGACAAGCCAGCCCAGGGCTTTCTGCACCGGGGCAGGCGAAAGCCGGTGTCAGTGGCCATCAACCTGGAGGGCGTGCATGTCATCGACAGCAGGGAGAAGGTACCCCCAGGGCAAGACGGGGGCTCCGTGGAGAGGAAGGGGGGTGGGGCTACTTACCCAGCTTTCTTGGCTCCCGTGGGCCTGTGGGTGGCCAGGGGCAGAGTGAATGTCCTGTCTGGAAGGGTCCCTCCCTAGACTTCCGCTTTCCCCTGGATCTGCCCCTATTGGATCAGCTCTTGTGCCCAGCCTGCTTGGCAGGTTGCCTCCAGGGCATGGCAGGCGCGGCAGGGTGAACTCTACTGAGTGGAGAGTCTGGCAGGAGTGTGACAATGCTGGAGACTAGCTCGTAGTCTCCGGAAAGGCCCGGGCCAGGGAGCCTCCTGGGCTGCCCAGGGCCTGCTCCTCCCTTGACTGCCTGTGTGGAAGGCAGTGACGGCAGCCCGCCCATGCCCCTAAGCTAGCAGAAAGCGCAGGGCAAATTCTGACTCAGGACAGGTCTCTCCCGCCCAACCTCTTGCCCCATGTGACTGTCTGGCCGTCAGGGGCTTGACTTGCAGAGAAAACTGCCCCCGCTCCACTCCCCTCGGGTCTGCTGAAGGCTGGGGCTCCTCTCCGGGTGGCAGCGTGAGTCGGGGAGCGGGCCTCTGCCTGAGGAGGGAGGACAAACTCTCTGTCCCCCCAGTATGTGCTGCTGGGCCTGGGCTTCCAGGAGCTGTCCTGGGACCACACCTCCCCAGAGGAGGAGGAGTCTGTCCTGTGGCTGGAGTTCGACGGGGACAATGAGGGCACACCCGTAAACAAGCTCCTCAAGATCTACTCCAAGCAGGTGTGTGGAGGCGCCAGGCGGGCTGGGTCAGAGGGTACTGAGGGCCGGCGTCCCAAGCGCTGGGACCCGGAGCCACCCCGGCTGCTGGTGGTGGCCATCTGCTGAGGTCCCCACGAGCCACCAGCTGCCTGAGCGCCTGTCTGCCAAGCCCAGGAGGGAGGTGCGGGGAGAAGTGGGGCTGAGTGAATGGGGCGCGGCACACAGGCCCGGAGGGGCTTCCCCCCGCCAGCGCCCGCTGACACAGGACCCTGTGGTTCCTTTGCGTGCTCCGGCCGTGCCAGCCTGGCTCACCTGTCCGCCTGCTTTTGCTACCCTTGCAGCTCCTTCAGCGGAGTGTCTGTTGAAGTCATTTGCCCATTTTTAGGGGGGCTGTTTTCTTACTGCTCTGCGTTCCTGTCCTTCACCCGGTCAGGGGTTTTGCGAATGTCTCCTCTCAGTCTACGACTTGCCCTTTTGTTTTCCTAGCAGTGATTCTTGAGGTGTTTCTGAGTTTGAGGAAGCCCTTTTTTTGTGTGGTTTATGCCTCTACTTCCTAAGAAACTCACCCAACGTGAGGTCACAAAGGCTTGCTCCTCTCATGGGAGACGCGCTCAGCTCTGCACTGAACAGGCTGGTGTTGGCTGTGGGCACCAGAGCTGCTCTTCTAGCTGGAGGGCCTCTGTCCTTCCCTGCTTTGCTGATGGGTGTTGAATTTCTTTTCTTTTTTTTTTTAAGATTTATTTATTTATTTATACAAACACTGGGTACAGTCAGAAGTGTGGAAGGGTGAGAGAATTCACCAGAGCCAGAGCAGGGAGCAGAACAGGCAGACAGACAAAATACACTGCTGAGGGGAGCAGCGGGCGTGGCAGGAGAGGTCTGCGCGCCACGTGGGACCCTCGCCCGGCGGCTGGGGATCGAACCGGCGCTGCAGAGGCTGTGGGCAGCTTCACAACCCAGCGCTCAACCACTGTGCCACCGGGGAGGCCCTGATGGGTGTTGAATTTAGTCAAAAGTGGCTCAGTTTTGATGGCAGCTCCCTGAGCCTCAGAAGCCTTGAGCTGTGGCAGAGGCTCTGAAAGAACTTCCCTGTTACGCTCACAGCTTGGGGCCCTCTCTCCCCACAGCCGCCTGCCTGGTCCCCAGCCCAGCTTGGCCATGTCCCCCCAGTGCGGGAAGGAGGGAGGTGTGGAGAGGACGTGGCTCACCGGCTCTTCCTTTTGGGCCGCGGCCAGGTTTCCTGCGTGCCCCCTCCCTGAGGTGGGTTGTGTTGCTTTGGAGAGGCTTCGGGCCGCGCTGGGAGCAGCAGGCCCTGACCACCCGCGGGCTTTTGGCTCTGACCCTGCCTCCCCAGTGGCTTCCCTCCTCAGATGCAAGGCTCTGTCCACCTCATCCTGCTCTGCCTGCTGTGTGCCGCAGCACCAGCAGCTGTGTGTTCCCGGATGGTGCCCACAGGCATCAGGTCACTTCCCATCAACACAGATCATGTTTACAATTTGTGGGGAAGGCATCATGTTTAAAGAACATGCTTGAGGGCCTCCCCGGTGGCTCAGCGGTTGAGCGCTGGGTTGCGAAGCTGCCCGCGGCCTCTGCAGCACCGGTTCGATCCCCGGCTGCTCCCCGGCCACCGGAGGAGGGTCCCGCATGGCGCGCAGACCTCTCCTGCCGCCCGCTGCTCCCCTCAGCAGTGTACTTCGGTCCTTCTGCCTGCTCTGCTCCCCGCTCTGGCTCTGGTGAATTCTCTCACCCTCCCGCGCTTCTGACTGTACCCAGTGCTTGTATAAACAAACAAACAAATAAATAAATAAAACATGCCCCTATTAAAAAACAAACAAACAAATAAATAAATAAATAAAAATGAAAAAAAGAACGTGCTCGAGGAAGCCCCACAGTCAGTGCCCTCCCCTCCACTGCCCCTCGTGGGCTGCAGCTCTTCTCTCAGCCACTCGAGTAGCCTGCCCGCTTCTCTCTTTTCCTCCGCGCCCAGCTTCACAGCCCCGCGCCTGATCATACCAGCCTGGCTGTGCCTTCTGACTAGGATGCTCTCCGCCCCCGCCCCAATCTGGGACCCCTATTCCTCTACCAGCACTGACCTGGGGGTCACCCCAGGACACCTCCCCTGCCTTGGGCCCACAGTGCCTACCCCTCCTTCTGGTCTTGCGTAAATGGTGTGCGTTTGCTCCTCCGCCCCCCCCACAGAGAGCCGGGAAGCCTCCATCGCCCCACCCTCCTCTGTGGTGGCAGCAGTGGGAAGGCTTGGGTGGGGGGTCCCCTCCAGGCCTCACACCCTCTGCTCTCTCCTCCCCAGGCTGAGTTGATGAGCAGCCTCATTGAGTACTGCATTGAGCTGAGCCAGGCCATGGAGCCCGCCGCACCCCAGGAGAGCATGTCTGGCGCCCCCCAAGCCCCAGGTGCCTCCATAGCTCCCTCCCAGCGCCCCCAGCTGCGGAGGCAGGGCAGTGTGGTGTGCAGCCGCCTGCAGCACCTCGCCACCATCGACTACGTGGAGGATGGTGAGAGTCCCTCGCGGCACGCGTGCATGTGGCACACACAGGCACACACACGGCACATGTGTGTACACACATGCACGGCTCACATACAGGTACACACACGGTGCGCACACACACTTCCACTGTCAGTTTTTAAGGTGTGAGTAAAGATGGGGCCATCCTGTGGCGCCCGTGCGGCTGGTTAAAATGCAGTCCCCTAAATGCAGCGTTGAATCTGGGGTCTGATGGAAGAACGGGTGTAACCCCACACCTCGCTCAGGAGATTGTTCCAGTGCTTCTGCTCAGCTCGGCAGACGCCCGGTGGGAACAGAAGAGGCGCACCTCAGGAGCTGGTTGAGCACTGGCCGGGGCTCTCATCTTGGCAACCTTTCTATAAAAATAAAAATAAAAAGGGTGCTATTTTTAATGCAGTAACAAAGACCTGCCTTTAAACGGCAAGGTGTTCCTGGGACAATGCCAGAATGATTGTTTCCGCCACCACAGTCGGCCTTGGCAAGGTAGTGCTGTCATTTTCACTCCTTCCTGCCAGCTTTCCTGTGGTACCTCAGCTCCTGTGAGCATCAGACCTGTGAGGTATGATGGAGTCCGAACCATTTTCCTCAGGAAGAATTGCAAGAAGCGCAGGGTTGCTGGGCCTAGGGGCTCCCGCTGGCACCGCCCCCCCAAGAGGGAGCCAGCCCTGGCCTTCTGCACCCTCACCCTGGTGCCATTCTCGGGGGAGGGGCGAGCAGGTGCTGGCACTGAAGCCGGCTGTTCTCATGTGCGAGACCTTTGATGTTTTCATTATTTCTGTCGCCTATTTTTTGGTGGCTTGACTTTTTTTTAATTAACATCTAACACGAAACTGGCATATTTGCTATAATTACTGAGGCACTACTGATAAAATGCACTAAGTAAACTCCTCAGTGTCCCCCTAGCACCCGTCCCAGGGCCGCGCCCCGTTCGTCGTCGTCCTGGCTCCCGCTTCCTCTCCGGGTGCCGGTTCCTCGGGCTGTCCTTGCTTCCCGCGCCGTTGAAAAGGAGCTCTGGCGGAGGTCCTGCAGGTTGTCCCCTCGCTGGCATTTCTCTGTGTTTTTCTCGGGGCTGGACGGGATTGTGGATTGAAAGATCTCCGAGGGAGAGCGCTGTTTCCAGGACGATGCAGCCAAGGTGGCGCCAGCAGCATCCTCGTGATGCTGGCGTTCACCTCAAGTGCCTGGCTTGAAGCCTGAGCCCGCAGGCACGCCTTCCATTGGCCCGCGAGCCTGCAGCGGGCATTTCTTCACTTGCTCCTTGACCAGGTTTTAGGCAGAGCCCCTCACACCCCACAGCTGCCCAGCAAGCACACAGCCAGATCTGGCCTCTGATTTGGGGGCTGGCCACATGCCCCCCCCCTCCATCCTGTCACTAATGGGGTGTAGGGCTGAGACAGAAAGTTGGCAGGTAAGAAGGGCCAGTCTGAATGGGCTCCAGAAGGGGCCACCGCTGGGCCGGGAGCCCTTCCTCAGCTCTTTCCCCTCTTCCCGGACAGGTGACCACATCAGGCGGGTGAGACCCAAGCGCACCACGTCCTTCTTCAGCCGGCAGCTGTCTATGGGCCAGGGCAGCTACACCGTGGTGCAGCCCTCCGACAGCCTGGAGCAGGGCTGAGGCGGCCGTGCAGGCAGGAGGTGGACACCTGCGCCGTCCAGACCTGCAGTACCTCCCCAGGACACGGAGCGGAGGACTACCTCATGGCCTGGACAGTGGGCTTCTGGGCCTGGGGTGGGGCTCAGCTATACAGAGCAGACCCAGACCCTGCAGGGTCCCTTTTGCCACCTCCCCCTTCCCCCCAGACTCTGGGCACTGCTCTCTCACAACCATCTGGCCAATCCCTCCCACCCAGGGACGGGCCTTTGTGCCCCTCTCAAGATGGGTGGCGTCCCCTGCTCTGCAGGCCCAAGACAGCTCTGACGGCAGGTGACAGAGACCAAGACTCTGCTGTGCTCCGCTCTCCCCCCTGGACTTTGGGACCACATCATGTCCCTCTGTGGGGGCAGGAACTGAGAAGGGAAGCCCCGTGTCCATACCCTCCCTGGCTGGAGGGAACTAGGGCAAGCTGGGTGGCAGGAGACACCACCAGAAGGAAAGTGCCTATTGCTAGGCTTTGGTCACATCACTGTGTTGGAAGGGGGCTGCCCCCTGAGCCCACAAGCCCCCCAGACCCACATGCCACACAAGGAGAAGCTTCCAACACCCCTGGGCATCAGGTTTTCACTCCAGCTTTGGCTCTGATGCCTGTGGGTGTGGAGGCACTTGAGGGAAGGCCCCCAGCCTGAGCTGCTGCTCTCCGGAGTAGTGCCATAGCCACCCACACAACCCTGGGACTGCTTGGCAGGACAAGTCCCACCACACCAGGCCTTCCTCCTGGGGACATGGCAGGAAGCTGGACTGGCCAGAGGAGGGCCTGCCCAGTCCTGGGTTCCCCTGCCATGGATTCCCCTGGAGACTCCGAGCTCCTGGGACATTCCACAGGCAGGGACCGAGGATTGCTGGGCACAGGGCTCTGTTTTTCTCCCTGGTAGGGGCGGGGGAGAGGAAGTGCAACCTGCTATCTCCAGGGCCCACCCCCCTCTTGGAGACTTAACCTCCAGGTGTCCTGGGGTGGGATTGCCTTTGGCAAGTAGGGACTTTGTTTTTTATCATCATGAAGTGTATCCCCAATGTCCTCACGATGGACATATGTCCCTCCTGGAGTCAGGGATTCTGCCCAGCCCTCCCAGCTCCCAGCCCTCTGGTTCTGTCTCCCTCGTTACCTTGGCACCAGGCATGTAGGCTGGCTGGGCACGCGTGCACATTGTTTTCATGCCTCTGCCTCTGCCTCTGCCTCAGCCTCTGTCCTGCATTCTCAGCATCCACTTTCCCCTTGCCCGCCTGCCCCAGGGAGCAATGCAGTATTCATCAAGTCCTCTTGAACATTCTCACTCTTTTTGTATCATGTGACATAGTAATAAACTAGGTTTCCAGCAAACTTCAGGTTAGCTTGTGATAACTAAGGTGAAGGGTGTTAGCTGTGGCCTGGGGTTGGTGCCAGGCTGCCTTCAGTTTTTATTAACCGCGTGGAGGGGCGCTCCAAGTTGAATACCCTGGAGAACCCAGACGGAAATTTTCCTATCTTGGTTTGTCAGGGCCGTGTGGAGTCAGGCCAGGGGAATTTTGGGGTTCGTAATGGGAACCAAACTTGAAACTGCAAGGGGCCCAGGAGCCCATGTTTACCAGGGCTACAGCCTGTCGGGTAAGCCCTGGCTCCACCCGCACAGCCGGTCTGCTGGGCTGGGGCCAGCGCGCCCGGGCCACGCCCCCGCTGCCTGTGGGCGGGGCTAGATCTTGAGCGCCAGGCCACGCCCCCGCTGCCTGTGGGCGGGGCTAGATCTTGAGCGACAGGCCGCGCCCCCGCTGCCTGTGGGCGGGGCCGGGTCCTGCGCGCCCCCGCCGCGGCCCCGCTGCCCCCTAGACGCGGTGCCTCCAGAATCTGGACTTCGTGGCCTCGCCCCTCACGCAGCGTGAAGCCCGTGCTCGGGGGACAGAGGCTAAAGAGTCCAAAAGGCCTGGATTATCTTGTGCCCTGGGCCTGGCCAGGAGCTGGTGTTGCTGGTCCGTCCTGCTGGGGCCGGGGCAGCACCAGGCCCCGCCTGTGGAGCCCTTCGAGCCCCGCAGGAAGCTGCTCCGCAGCCATAAACTCTGGGCTTTGGCCCTACAGGGTGACACCTCACACGAGACAAAAACGGAGCCGATAATAGATGGGGAAGAGGGTCGTGATCAGGAAGACTCCTGCGGGGAGGGGCGCCGCAGCGAGGAGGGAGACGTGGGCGAGGGGAGAGGGCGGGGAGGCGGGAAGGGACCAGGCAGAGCCTGGCTGTGCTGGACAGGCCTTGCGCCTGAGGGACACGGCCCTGAGCCACGGGGGTCGCAGGCCTCAGCACAGCCTCTGCCCTTCCTTCTGCAGGCCGGGAGGACGCTTCAGAGCCACAGCTTCTCCCTGCCCAGCCCCCGGGCTCAGGGACGGGGAGATTGTGGTGCAGGACTGGACCTGGCTTAGGACCTCGGATTTAAGAGGGCAGTTTGGTTCCCCGCCATGAGCCGCTTTCCCCGCCCCAGCAGCCGGCAGCTCCGGAGGGAGGCGAGCGGGTGTGAGGAGGGACTCCGCGGGTCACAGCCGGCGCCGCTCCGGCGTCGCCAGCAGGGGGCAGCTGAGCCCGCCCTTCCCGACGGCGCCGCCCACCGGGTCCGGCAGCCGGGAATCTGGGGGCTGTGCCCAGGGGCCTGGGGCCTGGCGCGCTTGCCCACCCCCATTCCGAGCAAGCGCCCTGGCTCCTGACCACCCGCACCTCCCTGCCCTCCTTGTTGGGGCGTCTCCCCGGGGTTCCCCACTCGGTGGTGGTGTTAGGGGGAAAGGATTGCTCTGCAACAGTGGGACCCACGTTTTTTAAAGATAAGGGTCCATGTGCCCAAGACACATTCTGATTTGGAATTGATTTTGTTTTTTTCCTGGAAAACGATAACTGAGTCAAAATGGTTCAAACTAGGACTATTTGGGGAAGTCCAGCAGGCACGGTGGGCACCCCTGGGGCCTCCTGCTCCCCCACCCCAGAGGCGCTGACGCCCTTGGCCACCTCCCCTTTCCCGGCTGGCACCTCCCCTCCCCTGCAGCTATTTCAAAGGCCTTGTCTCTAAGTATGACTTGCAAGAAGGGAAATAATAGTCCCAGTTCTGCCTGGATCTGTGTGTCCCCTGCGCATTTGACCTTGGTGCTGGCCGAGCGGTGGCGTGATCCCTAACATTCTGGGCCAGCCAAAGCCGGGCCCCCCTCACATCGTGGAGGTCAGCAGCCGCTGGGGCCAGGACTCCACTCCCCCTGCTCCGTGGCGCCAGGCAGCCTCTCCTGGGAAGGCTTTGGGCGGGGCCAAGTCTGAGCAAGTCGAGGGCAGTCCCCAGGACTCCTGTGCAGTGACTGGGGCAAGGACAGGCCTTCTGGCAGAGACCCGGGGAAGGGAGAGGGTTTACTGGGGGCTTCTGGGGTGAGGGGGTTGCAGATGTCAGTCTTGGCCTGGTCCCCTGCCCAGAGCAGCTGTGGTCAGGATTCCTGATGGGTGGGACTTGAGGAGAGGCTGGTAATGTGGGCCCACTCCAAAGGGTGGGGCCTCCAAAAGCTGGGACTTGCTCAGTGGGCCCCTGGGGGCCGCTGGCAGAGCATGACAGTGGACAGGGGAGACTAGGTTTGTGGGGCCAGGTCTCTCGTTCTACAGGCCTTTCTGCTGCTTGGGAAGGGGGTCTGGTGAGCACTTAGGGTGGGGGAGACTTCAGGACACAAGGAGGTGAGTGTGAGCCAGTGAAGGAGCTGGCAGAACAGGGAGAGCTGCAGGCAGGAGCCAACTTGGATAAGGCGCCAGGAAGTTGGGGGGAGGGGCAGTCAGTAGGGTTAGGGCACGCAGGGCCTGATGCCCAAGAGTGTATGTGGCAGAGATCCGGAAGCTAGGGCCACTAGGAGGGGGGGCCCTGTCGGAGCTGCCAGCAGTGGCCAGGAAAGGACATCAGGAAGCGAGAGCCACAGGCCCTGTGCCCCCTCCCCCAGGGAGCCAAGGATTAAATGTGTGAGGAGCCCCCTCCTAACTCAAGATATCCTCCCTGCCTCCCTCTTTTCGGCCCATGTGGTCCCAGAAAACAGGAGCATGAAGTGCAGAAGGGCCAGCCCTTTTCTGCCTAGTAAGCCAGTCTGGGGTGCCTCCGCCCTACACCCTGTCTCTGGAATGTCTCCTGCAGCCTTTGGGCCCAGGACTTCAGGGAACACCCCACCCCCATCTCCTGGGATCTGTGGGGACCTGGAAACGCCTTCCTCCAGTCAGTCCACAAATACCACAGATATTTATGCCACAGGCCTCCCAGTGTGACCTTACAAAACAAAGACTGTTGGGTCAACACATTTACCTAGGCCTGTGACGTGTCAGGGACCAGACAGTGCAGAGTCCAGAGAACAGGACAGAGTGAAACCCCTCTCCACAGGGTGTGAGGTGGGGGGTGACCCCTGGGCAGTGGTCTGCGGGAGCTGAGGGAGGACCAGGCCAGGCAGCCACCTGGGGATAGGCCTTCAAGGCATTTGTCAGAATTATGAAGTGGAAAGGAGCCCCCGATGTCTGCAGATGGCCAGGGCATGTCCCGGAAACTCTGAGCAGACAGAGGTCCAGCTTCCCATCATGGCAGGAGAGGTCAGTAGGGGCTGGGTGGGGGTCCATTGTTGTTCCTGCTGGGCCTCTGTGAGGCAAGCCAGAGGAAGCACCCAGGCCAGTGCTGGTGACTGTGCAATATCCTTGCCCAGGCCCCACCCTCAACCAGGGACCTCAGGATCTGAAGGAACCAGCACGCGCAGAGGGTCTCCTGTGAGTGGAGAGCCCAAGGTGACCCAGGAGGCCACCACTGGGTAACTTGACCTGCAGGTGGGGGACTTGGGGGATTCGTGGCGGGGGCAGGGTGGGTGGTTATGGCACATTCTCTGGTGGTGACAGCAGTTGCTGCCCTTGGTGGCAACCTGACATACCAGCTTTCTCCTCCCTCTTTTCCAGGGGCCCCTGAGGGAAAGCTGTGTCCTCTCCTGGGTGGGGCTGTATGCTGAGAAACAACATTGCTGAGCTGGGTTCTAAAAGAAATGGGGAAGTGGCCTTGACCTTGAGAAAGAACTCAGAACCCAGACCCTGCCTGAACTCCGGGTGTTGCCAAAGCGGCCCTTTCCTGCTGCCTTTCCCCTGCCTCCATGAGCCCCTGGTTGGGGCTCAGTCATCCGCCCAGATAAGGCGGGGCCCTCACCACCCAGCCCCACCCTGGGATCCAAGGTTCTCTGTTTACTGCTGTTTCCTGGAACAGTTTGTTATTTTGATCTAGAGAAATGTGCTGACGCACTGGCCACCCTGCCCCTCCTCCATCGAGCTGGAGGCATTTGGAGCCTTGTTTGCAGAGCCCAAGCCCAGGGTTGTAAACCTTACTGTGAGAAAGGCCTTGGCCTCCTGTAGCTGAACAGGGATGGCCTGTGGGGCCTTCCACCCTCATTTCATCTCCCCTCAAATACAGTCTGCGAAAAGTTGACATCCGGGAGCCATTACAAATTTCATTTGAACTGGGCCAAATGAAATGGTTTTAAAAACCATGAAGCAGACAATTGTTTATGGACTTTTAGCAAAGGACAGAATCAGTCAGTTTGTTAGGGGGAAAGGATGTCCAAGTTCCCTTTCCAGCCTTTCTAGAGAGAACCAGTAAACAATGACATATAGCCAAGAATAGTTTAATCTTAGTAACTCTAACCAACTCTTTTCCCATAAAGCCCCTGTGACTTTGTCCTTCTGTGAGGCACATCTTACATTTTCTAAAAAATTCTGTAGAAGTGTATATCTGTAGAATGTGACCCCAAATAAATGTGCTTTGCCTTTTAATTGACTTCTGAATTTTCAGGTTAACAAAGAAAACCAGCTGTGTAGAACTCAGAGGCCAGGAAACCTAAATAAGAACTCTCTGCATTTCATTTTGTCCTTGAAAATGAAGTGGGTGATGAGGCATCTCCAGACACAGGGCACAGAGGAGGACTTAGTTCCTCTTGGGATGGAGAATCTTAATGCTTTGTGTGTCGCTAATTCCACCCAATTTTTAAAAAAATAAAATCTAAATCTATTCCTGAGATCTGGGGATGAGAAAGATTTTTAGACCAGAGGGAGAGAAAAGCAAGACCTCACACTGGATCCAGGAAGTAGCCACCAACAGGTGCTTGTAGATTAAGGGCTGACCCCAAGGCTCCGTCCTGTGACCTGGAGGGCAGGCTCTGGATTTATATGAGATCATACCCACTTTCCAGCTTTTTAGAACATTCTGACAGACAGTTCCCTCTTCTCCACTGTTCTTTCAGGTCAAGCTTCCCTAACCAGCCTCTGCAACCCGCTCAGGGACAAGACCCCAGGGCAGACTTCACAGACCCTAGGAAGTGTGAGTGGGGGAATCTCTCCCTGGTAGAAGAGTTCTGCTAAGCTGCTGGTGAACAAGTCTGGGCTTGAACTGGCCCCGCGGTGCCGAGAGTCACATGCCAGCCAGTCATCAGTTTACCCCAGAACCACAGGGAGGGTGCGGCCCGGCAGCTGTGTCAGCCCTGCCTGCAGATGCCATCTTGCAGAGGCAAAGCACCCTCCCA